CCAGTGGTTACTACCTCAGGTGAACTTCTGGATCACACCACCTACACCAGGGTACAAGTGGTTACTACCTCAGGTGAACTTGTGGATCACACCACCTACACCAGGGTACCAGTGGTTACTACCTCAGGTGAACTTGTGGATCACACCACCTACACCAGGGTACCAGTGGTTACTACCTCGGGTGAACTTCTAGATCACACCACCTACACCAGGGTACCAGTGGTTACTACCTCTGGTGAACTTCTGGATCACACCACTTACACGAGGGTACCAGTGGTTACTACCTCGGGTGAACTTCTGGATCACACCACCTACACCAGGGTACCAGTTACTACCTCAGGTGAACTTCTGAATCACACCACCTACACCAGGGTACCAGTGGTTACTACCTCGGGTGAACTTCTGGATCACACCACCTACACCAGGGTACCAGTGGTTACTACCTCGGGTGAACTTCTGGATCACACCACCTACTGTCATCATGCTTACTGTGGCGGAAGGCAGAACTGAGGAAGAAACACGGATAGATGAAGAAGGGGAGAAGAAAAGGGGGGGCAGAGGGAAGGAAAAGAGGGGAAACGAAAGGAAGAAAAAAAAGAGAAGGAAGAAACTAGGGAGAGGGAGAAAACGAGAGCGAGAGAGAAAAGAATCTGTAAAACTTTGTGACGTGTTTCGAGAAATTTTATAATCTAAAGCCCTACTTCGCCGTCGTCCCCCTGATCACGCAGGCTGTGACTACCCACGGCCCGCTGCGCAACAATCATAACCTAGCAGTTTCAACATATTAGGATAAACTTCTTCAGTTTCCTGTATAAAACTCGTACTTCTGTCATCTGCTGGTAGAAGGTTCAAGAGTCTTGCACCATGGATGTTGATACAGTGTTCTCTTACTGAACCTGTGGCGACCCTTCTCTTGTATTCATTCTGCACTTCCTCCCGTATTCCTCATTCAAAAAAGAAAATTATTAGTCTGGATTAGCAACCTTTACACAAGCATTTACCATTTGCAGATTACCAAGTGTCCTTCTATCCCGGAGATCCCACTGCGAGTGCTTAGAGACGATCACAGTAACATTTATGTGGGACACCAAATGAGATTACAACTTCGATATCTCTATACACAAATAACCCGCACATAAAAGAGAAGCTTACGACGACGTTTCGGTCCGACTTGGACCATTTACAAAGTGACTTTGTAAATGGTCCAAGTCGGACCGAAACGTCGTCGTAAGCTTCTCTCTTTTATGTGCGGGTTATTTGTGTATCGTTCCAGTCACGGTATTGTGCCTTTTTTTGTTATTGATATCTCTGTTTTGATAGGAACTGTGAGCAGAGAGGAGAGAGAGAGAGAGAGAGAGAGAGAGAGAGAGTGAGTCCGTCTTGAGGGTAAAACAAAATTGAGGGGAAAGTAAGAGGCGTTAAGAGAACCTTGACAATGTTTAAGAGTGAACTCTCATGTTGTCAATGATTGTTTTAAAATGTGACGCTGGTGGTGCCAGTGTGACGCTGGTGGTGCCAGTGTGACGCTGGTGGTGTTAGTGTGATGGTGTCTGTTAGACAAACAAAACATGCTCCCCTGACAACACCACCACTTCCACACCTACACTATTTCCGGAGTGTGGAGCAAGACAGTGTTATGGTTCACTCTCCATCCCCCGCTCTCCCTTCTTCCTCTTCCTCCCTTCTCTCCCTCCCTCCCTCGCTGGCTACCCTTCCTTCTCCCTCGCTTCCCTGCCTTAACCTGCTGCTTTCACGGACAAAAGGATATAATTTATATATAAATCATGAGTTCTATTCATGATAAAAAAATAAGTTACGCTTGAATCATGATGACTTAAACAATAACAACGACGGACACTTGGCATTTTTGAAGTCACTAGATTTTAGTGTTGCCATTAATTGTTTCAGTTTCTCATGTTTTTTTTGTGTGTTTTAGTTGATTTCCGGTATATTTGCAGCATGTCTAACCTTTGGTATTGCATAAATTACGTCAGAACATGAAGGTATAATGGTGTAGTAATAAAGTATGTTAGTGTGTCTACAGGAAGAATCAATCACAGTAGTGATTGTAATATGTACAACAAAATGGTATACAATACCGACAAGATGAAATTTAAGACACATGTGCAACATCTGGGTATCTTTATTGTAGACGTTTCGCCATCCAGTGGCTTTATCAATACAGATTCTAGGACATAACTTGAAGACAGTAGAACTATGTACAGAAGATGAGGTAATCAGTCCCTCAACCCTGGAGAAGGTGCGAAGAGCACCGTAGTCGTAGAGATTCTGAAGCAGAAGAAGGATCCTGGCGCTTATATAGTAACGTCAGGTGTAGCAGACGAGGGCATAGTCACTGGTAGGCGGGATTCCCCAGTGGAAGTTACCTCATCTTCTGTATATAGTTCTACTGTCTTCAATTTATGTCCTGGAATTTGTATTGATAAAGATACTGGATGGCGAAACGTCTACAATAAAGATACCCAGATGTTGCACATGTGTCTTAAATTTCATCACAGTGATTGTAATATGTATGGTCTCTCATAGTTAGCCATGTTGCACCATGACACAATTACAGAATGGCATTATTAAAGGAAAGGTGCCTGGCACTCCCAGTACTGCTGACACCTGACTTATCACCCTCTCTCTCCATTTTTTCCATGGTTTAATTTCACCTTATTAGTTCCTGGTGGAAATTTCAT